CGTGTAGCAATGCTCGAGTCACCAATCCAATATAAAACTCGTACTCGTTCTCATTTAATAGGAGACCGTGGTAGCCAAGACGTTGTAGGCCGAGCCGACGGAGATGATAGGCCTCAAACCAAATAAGAAAATAACTTTCTTCTTCTCATGAAGGTACACCCTGGAGTCCCTTTAAAGGATATTGCGATAAATTGTGAAAATCTACCGTGAGACACGTAAAATTTTTCGTTGAAATCGAGTATAGTAGCCTGAATGAAGAAGCCGATGGTATTTCTATGGGCACCATTAAAAATTGAATGACGGTGGCTTTAGTCGTAGCTGAATAATAGCGGTATGTGGAATAATCCTTCTCAAATGGCAGGAATGTTTTTTCAACCTTTGCAAATCCTCTCAACGCTGTGTCTGTGTTTATGTCGGTATCATGATGGTACGGTATTCGTCGAGATGACGGCTACAATTTTCTCTATTTTCCAAATTGAACGAAACCAGGACACAAAAATCCGAGCGGTCTAATTACGATTAAATAATTCAGTCATTCCATTTTTCCCAACAATACTCGGCAAATTGTAAAATAGTATCCGTTTATTTCAGGGGGCAAAACTTGGTTTCCTGTGACAGATGGGACTGCACCGTCTCATACCCTCTCATTCCTCGTCCAACCACTATATTCGTTGGTGAATGCAAATTTGACCCGGGCTATTCCTTTTCCTATGCAATTAGTCATGCCATCGGATTTCATCTACGGTTTCATCCAGAGTGACGCTCGATATGTTGTAGAAAATTAGAAGCGGACGTATATTAAAAGAAAAAACAATTATTTTGGTTCAATAATTCAATTATTAAAGACTACATTAATCTCACATAATTGTCTGAGGTAGGTGGACTGTTTATGGTGTTTAATCTTTATTCCGCACTACCGCTTTAAAAGATCGGTAAAAGTTAAGTTCCATGTTTAATTACCAATTAAAAGATGATATCTTTCTGTACTCGTGGAATCTAGTAAAAGAAAACAGATTTCTCATAAGCCACGATTTTGTGCTCATAAATTATACTATCTCGAAATCAATATGCTCCTCTCAGAAAAATAAAATCAATGTGATCAAGATGAACTCCTTTCGGTTTGCACACTTTCCCAATAATTTCCTAGCAATCAATATGATTCATCCCTACAGTGGTTGCAGTTTTCAAGTTTTGGATGTTGATGAGACAATAGCATTTACGGATGTCCAGCCAATAATTTCAGTTTCGCTTAAGATAACGCGTGCGTATGATTGAGAAATTAGTGCCATACCCTGAGTGGAAAAATAAATTCTACATAAATAAAACGAAGTTTAAAGAGTAAAATTAACGTTTCAGTATAGAGTCTCGTGAATACATTAAAGTTTGCTTTGAGCCTAAACTTTGTACGTACGTTCGCTGTAGAAGGGTTGAGGGTCAAAACGACTTTGTAAATTCTAGCATATTTACTCATTGTGATTTTGGTTCTCCCCACTCCCATATGTCCTTAATCCTTTCGCAGTGAAGTGAAAGTAAAACAAGTTTCGTTGAAAATGTGTTGCACAGAGATTCATTGAATTTTCATGACAGTTTTGTGGTGATGGTTTTTTGGCTCGTTAAACCCGAAAATGATATCGAAATTTCCAAATTTAAAAAGGCGGATCCCGCATGGCTAATCAAAGTACAGAAGTCATCAGATTTGCGTAAAAATGTAAGGGTTTCTTTTTCCTTATACAGAATATATAAAGTTACTATTCTTTTAAGTTTTCGTTCTATATACTTTATGAACAGTATAAAACAATATACTGTTAGGTTAGAATTATTACTGCTGCTTACGTTACATCATATTGAAAATTAGTGATCCTGAAACTTTAGAATCTAATTTTTAAGTGAATTGAATGACTCCTATACCCCGACATATTCCATTTTTTAGCCTTCATGTTCGATCCGTCATTTTTAACGTTTGTATTTTTATATTTGATTTAATATCAGCAATCCGAAAACCACTTGAAACCCAATGTTTATGGAAATCCGATAGTATTTTGTTATTTTGGGTTGTCACTTTAGATCAGCTATTTTGAAACTTTGAATTTTGACGTCAGATTACAAGCGATCTCAAAAAAATGGAGAACTAAATAATTATAAAAATTGTAATAGTGGAAATACATTTTTTTTTTAAAAGAAGAATAGAACACCTAATATAACGTAATATGCGCCTATTGAACTCGAGATCTGGTCCATCCAACTTATTATCTAATAGTCCCTTGAAGTCGAAAACAGCATTTAAAGATGTAGATGCGGATATGAAACCATGGCCGATAACTTCGGAGAATGAATGAAGCGTGCGTGATAGATGTGTGATCGAAGGTGCGAACGAAGGTAAGAAAGAGAAAACGATAAAAAGAAAAGAGTGAGAGAATGTGCGATAAGTGCGTGCATGAGAATGCGAGTACGAATGAGAGTGAGTCCAGAATAGCAGGGCAAACTAGTATTTAATCTACATAAAAAAATTGATTAGTACTGTAACGTTCAATACAGGTGGTTCAGTGGTTAGCTCAGAATTTTTGTAAAAAACGTGTTGATTTTGTACTGTGGCAAATGCATTAGATACCCTTATATGCTCCACGAGCGTCATGTGTAAAAAGGGAAGACCTAACGATAAAGGACGGATGAGTTGCAGGTAATTTGAACGAAATATTCCGTTTTATTCCAGACATTATCAGACAGCGGATGCGAACCTTCTAAATTATTTCTTGTAAATGTCTGGTAAGCCAGTCAGCTTCGTGTTCTCCAAGTTACGCTATTTCCTCCTTCTCATACCTTCGCACTCTTCGACATACCCCCCCCCCCTTCCTGGTTGACTTCTTTGGGTGAAGGTTGTCCTCGTGGTGTGCCAACTTCCAACCGACGCCGACACCAGCACACCCCTGCGAATAACTTTGAGAGATGAGAGTCATTATCTACCAGAGCCAGTCTGGCTCTCCTCTCTCTTATCGGGCCACCTTACCGTCGATGTTTATTACCAAGAACGCGACATCTTCGCCCGTTAACGAGAGCAAGAAGGTCACCGGAAGATGGGACATTGGAGGACCAGAAAAGGGATCTCGTGGAAGTACGAAACAGAACCGGGAAGCCAAATGGAAGATGCTACAAGGGGCAGAAAGCGAGTCTCGAATTTACATTTGTGCAGGTTTAATTTCATCGCTGCCGGGCTTATGATTTTTATTTGGCCCGCGTCCTGGTATTTTGTTTCTCCGTTATTTTTCGTTGCCTAGGCCAGTCACGAAGCGCCTCTGAATTGCGACAATTAAAACAAAAGAAGTACGAGCCGGCACTTCTCCCCGTGGCGTCCCTCTGCATGCATACTAAATTACGCTGGATTTGTATGTGCGAACGTGTGAACGGCTGCACAAAAAATCCCGTTTGTTGGCTTAACGTTTCAGAGCGTCGGGATAATTCTCTACAGCATATCCCGGATTATCCTTTGCTTCCTGCAACCAGCTGCAGCCCTCTTCTCCAAGGCTCTGCGAGCAGCTACAAGATACTTACTTATGTTAGTTAAACTTATGTCTATTAACTTATCCACTTACCCTGCGTCATCTACCAAACGGGACACCAAGACAATGTTTTTCTTAAATGTTATAGACCTTATCATTCGTATTAATTTCTACATGATTTTCTTACGCGCTGTAGTTTCTTTCACTCTGAGGGTACCTGCTGGTAGCATTATAGCAGCCACGGACTCCTGTAGAATGACAGAATTGTATGCGCGAACGAGCTACGTATGCATTTTAGATGTTATTGCTTTTATCGGTAGGGTGAAAATCCGTAAATTTCGTTTTTCCGGACGTAAATATTGTTTCATGCAAAACGTCTGAGCCGAGCCCCCTATCCACCCAGAGCCTCGCCTATCGCCCGCCTGCCGTCCCGCTATTCCAACATATCATTTATAACGCGTTCTGCCAGCTTCCTCTGATGCGGAAAAAATGATTGATAGCGCACTCCTCCCCTTGACTCCCTTGCCCTACACCTTTTCCTTTTCGGCTCCTTTCACATTCCTTTCTTTCTGTTTTCTCAGGAAACTTTACGACGTGGAGCTTCGCTCGAGCTAAGAATGTGTCGAAATCGATGGCGCTTCAATTTCTGTAAATCTCAATAGAGCTGGTCACCCTCTCATTTTCCATATGAGAACAGCCCGAAGAGGTTGCCGGGGTGTTAGAGGATAAAGGTCGAAGAGTGGCACCAACGACATTGCCAGTCTGCGACTTCCGTGCTGGAAGGGGTTCATGTAAATTTGTAAAACACGCGTCGAATTCATGGTCGCATCTCCAAGTCAATGGCAATGCCATTGTCAATAGCAATGCCAAGCGACCTGCCCGACAGGGAAAATTCAATTAAGTTTAATGGGAGATCAAGGGTCGATGGGAACCTGGGACAGGGAGCAGTGAAAAGAAGAAGGGGATGTTATTCCGGAAGGGCGGACAGCTAAGGGTTGACCTGAATAATAGAGAGTCGCCACTGTGATTCTACGGAACGCCGAAAATCGAGAGAACCTCCCGCGACAATAGTCATTTCCATTTGTAAAACACCTCTCTTCCTCTTCCTCCCTTACTTTTTGATCTCCATCAATGGTACAAATAATAATGAGTCGTAGGTCGCAGAGACTTTTGTCTCTGATTAGTCACAACGTACACTTAAAAATGAGTCAACCGAAAGTGAAGAGCAATTGAGAGAAGATGTCTGCTTAGAGAGAGAGAGAGAGAGTAGATGATGAACGCATCCATTTGTAGTCTTGGAATAATTTAGGTAAAAATATTGGCAATTGCCATAAGAGCCCAGAGACGTCGCGACGCATGCAGGTTCTCGTCCATTTCTAGTTTATACGTCTACATAGCGTGTGTGGAAGGTTTCTCCCGACGTTTTTACATTTTTATTTCCTCTGGTTACTATACCTGCATGTAGCACGGCGCAACTATCTCTCCATCGCCATGAACTCGACTCACCTGTCGTAGTAATAGTCCCTGAAACAAAGAATAAATGAAAGTAAGTTAATGTGTGTTTCTTTGCGAAAATCACTGATAATTATTACAATATTCACCTTTCAATTCGTATTTCGTTTATGTATAATATTCTTATGTATTTCCTACTGTTTGCATACATTTTTGGTTCACTCACAATTGTGAATAAACGAGAGTGATAAAAAGAATTCATTGTTTCCTAATTTTTGAAAAATTTAATTAATAACGTAAATTTTATGAAATATCAGGGGCGCCTGTTAAAACAAAACAGAACGAGACCAAGGCATGAAACGAGCTCTCTTTTATTTATTTCTCTATTCCCGTTTATTTCTATAATCTGTACTTGATACTCTCGGATACATTGTTTGTGGGTCAAAATAATGTGCGTCAAAGTAATGAAACAAGTTTAAGTGTGATTCTCTTAAAGCAACACCCCAACGATATAGAAACTGGAAGACTAACGGGACTTTTAATATTAATTATTATTATGAGAAATGCAATCTTTATGTTTCATAATGACACAACTGTAACATTATAAAAATATGAAGAGGTTATAGATTATAGACGCGTAATTTATGTATTTAATATTATCAATTAGACATCCTTATAACATCACGACAACGTTTCCTATTTGAATAAAATATTTTTTGAATCTTTGCAACTAGTTTTTAGATATTTCCCAGATATATGTTACTACTTGAAACATGTATACAGTTGCTTCACATGTGGCGTCTACCTTGCAGTTACAATTTGGTTTAGACAGCTTTGAGTTTCTCACGATCTTTCGTAATTCAGTATTGACAGACTGATTAACTAAAATCAGGCTTTTTGAGTTCTAGTTATCGTATTGTTCCGCTCATAAAATATTTGACTTATGGTTACCAGACATATTATATGTTAAACAAAATTATAGTAATTCAATTTCAACATACTTCTCGTTATAATGATTTAAATTTTAATTCAATTAATAACATTTTTTTATAAACAAACAAACTATATTGAAACTGATAAATTAAACGAATGGCATTTGGATTAAATGAGGAATACTAGATGGAAATAAAGATTGCCCAACAAAACTAGTTTCATTCAACAAATGGTTTTTCCCAGTATAAAAGCAATGGGAGCAAGAAGATTGGCTTTTCATGTCGATTTCAATTACTCGGCAATGGCGTCAATGACGAATCGATTTAACGATTGCGTGAACGAGTTATTCGAAATATGAGAGGACCGATATGTGATGGCGCTTGCAACGGGCCATCCTCCGACAGACCCACAATATTGCTCGAAGGACAATGCGGACAATCACGGTTGGTTGTGGTGCCAGGATCGTTTGGCACCGTTTCACCACATTCCGGGATGTTCCGCCTTGTTCCACCCGGTTTCAGGCAGTTATCATTGACTCTGCCGTTTAAACTTTAGCGACAAATCCGTGGCCACCACTGTGTCCCGACTAAATTGGTCAGTACGTTGAAAGTGAGAGAACCAATTGAAAAAATTGAAAATTGCGTATAAAGAAACGGCAGCTATACGATACGAATCATTCATCCTAATATTTCCGAGTTGGCTGCTTCTATAACTAAATTGAACGAGAGCCAGAACTGGAGCCAGTAGGCAAAGAGTTAGAGAGGTTCGTCCCATGACGTATTCATTTTCCCGTCGAACGGTGAACCCGAAGAATCCCCAGGAACCTTGGAAAGCCCTGGAGGCTCCTCAGGATCTCTGATCTAGGAGATCGGAGGACTAGAGGGAACTGGAAGGGAGTGGCGGGTGTTGGCCACTTGTTTTCCCCTGACGTTTTCGTGGCGAATGCGATTTTCGAGCACTCAGTCGAAGTGGAGAGCGCTGTCCGCGGCACGTGCCCCACGGCTAATCCAGCCATCCTCTTTCCCGGACGGCTCTGTCGTCACTCTACAAGCATGCTTCCACTTTGCCATTCTGCCATTCTGCCATCCTACTATTACAGGTCCTCTACGCCATTCTATCGTCCTGTCATCGGGATGATGGAACGAGAAAACTCTTTTGATCCCACTCGTCTTCTAACTGGGCTCCAACCATTCTCCTTCGGCCCTCAGTCCCTCGAGCCTAACTCTCTTCCATTCTTCTCTGCTCCTTTTTGCCCTAGTTCAATTTCTGTTTCCGCTTCCGTTTCCGCCCGCAGAGATACCCCTACCTGGCATAACCTAAACTTAATTAGGGAGACGGTACACTAGTCGGAGACTCCAATACCACAAGGTAACTTTGGAACCATCTGAATTGTGCTAGAGACAGTGCTGCAGCAGCAGAGTAAGTATTTTTAGATAGCTGAATGGCTGAAATAAAACGGCAATGCGATAAAGCAGCTCGATTTTCCAGAACCCTTGGGGATCACGGCTACCGTCAGGAGGGGTTTGCGCTGGGCTTAGCGGCCGGTATCGAGTGTACAGTTACATTCGAGCGTGGGCACACGCTCAGTCATGTGCTGGACCCTGCGACAACATTGGTAGAAACTAATAAATCCCGTGACAATACGTAGTATGGCAGTGATTCCCGAGCGCAGAGCTCTTTGTCAATGGAAAAAGAACAAACGTGTGCGGGGAAATATAACCTCACTCGTTTCTCCCATATTTACGTGCTCACATGTTCGGTTTATATCTTGTTGTGTTCCACATCATCACTCGAGGCCCGTGTGTGCGAAAAGATTTTGCTTCGATCCGCCGTGTTCGGTTGACAAAACGAAACAACGCGTGGTAAAACGCGAAAAAACATAAATTGTGATATTTGCTTTTAGCATTTGCCGCACGCACTTCTTTCGCGACTACCCTACATATAATTCCTATGCAGGCAATCGTTGCATAGAATGTGAACCGTATAGGGAATAAAATTTAAGCTTGGTAAATCCTGTATTTGGAAACACTACGAGTACGAGTGACGCGTAAAATAAATATGGCCATCCCATGTTATACCACGCTTCTTAACCATTTTTCCCATTCTACCCTTCAGGGCCATTAGGAACCGAAGAGGAGAATAAGAGGGAAGAACACAAAAAGAAGAAAGGCACGATATTCCAGAGTGTTTGACGAGTGGTAGGAAGGGAGCAGGAAGACTGATGAATTGATGAATTGACTAACTGACGAGTTGACGAGAGAAGTGAACTGAGGATGAAGCGACCGGCTGATAATATCAGGGCTATCTCATTCGTTTATTGGAATTGGTTTCAAGTGCGCCACGTTTGGTTGTTGAATGTCCCATTGTTCCTCCATTGTCCGTTTAGTAAACCTCCTCCCGTACTCACGCACACCCACATTCCCCTGTTTCCACACTCCCACACCACGGGAGCTCAAACAAGCCTTCCACCCCCGGTCGAACACCGAAGAGCATATTTGCAAACTGGTCAAGCGATTTCGGCCAATATTTCAGCACCGTTAGCATTCAATTACGCGAATACCGAGGGACTGAGACACCGAGAGATCTATTCCTATACCACTCCTGTGCGTATAGTTTATTCGAGCTGCACTATCAGTGCTGTTGGTTAGCGATAACCAGCGAGAATTTTCTCTCTATTACTTTTCTAATTTTCTTCTCTTCCAATGACTCAATATCCTTATTACCTCGTTCCGCTGCAATCTGGGAATTAGCGATTGTTTTTTAATCTCTCTTTCTTTTTCTCATGAAATCTCGGTGCAAATATTGACATAGCGTCGCCACGCAACATAGTGATAGGTGTGAAATTCACCATACTTATTAATATGTGTTATGTATGTCGAGTATATTGCGGCCGGTGTTGTTACCGCAGGTAATTATGAGTCAAATAATGCCGCGTGCCAGTGACATTATTTATGTCGGCGTGTTTGCAAGTATAATTTTTACATGTGCCGTCGCCGTTGCGTCCCTGACACCCAACTCTTTCCACCCCTTTAGCTATACTTACTGTTGCCAGTGCCACTTCTATAGCGTAGTCACCCTTACTCGGGTCTCGGTTGAGCACGCACGCACTGCATTGCTTGGGTTGCCTCGAGGCACGTTGTTTGATATTCAAATGTACTTTCCGCGAATTGAATTTGATTCGTTACCACGGACATTGTGCAGAATCGGACGGGGCCAACCGTGTGACATTGATTTGCGAGTTGCTGCGCCCCACGGCATCTTGCCTGTGAAATTTACGGCTCTGCATGCCCCGGACTGGGACCCTCCTTCCCTCAACCCCTGCTTTACAGGTTCTTCATTGCTCTCTATAAATGATAGAGTCCGCAATGGAAAAAGAGGAACTGGCAGCTACACAGAAAAATAGGGTAGCTAGAAAAAGGAGAAATCTCGCTTGCCGTTCAATGCTCCCTGTGGCGTCGCCCATTGGCTATTGTCTATAGCCCATTGGCTTTCGTTTCCCAGCCACCTAATAGAATTTTCGCTCGCGGTTCGATTTTCGTACTTTAGTGGACGAGTCGCGACCGCAATGGGATTCGAGATTTTACGGCGTAGCTCGCGGAGCGCAATGTAACGTGCTGCCTCGAGGTTTCCCATGAGACATACCCGCTCCTAGGAACCATAGAGTAACTTAGAGATCCGAGCAGGCCAACATCCTGAGCATCGGAATATCCTGAAGTCTCTGTATTCGACGCTCAAAAGCACATGGGAAATTCTCCGTCGAGTGCTACATAATTTCGAACCCCGGTGCTTCGTTCTATCCTGACCGACTGCTTTATCCTTGTCTACTTCTTTTCTATTCTTTTCTCACTTTCTTCTAACTGCGCCTTTATTTTCCTATTTTCTTATTTCCTTATTTCCTTCCCCTCTCAACTTCAATATGTTCCCCTTTCACCTTAAATCCGCAAATCTAAATTTATTAATGTCTCGTGGATCGAACACCCTCGGGTCTGATAAAAGGGATACGGGTCTATAGAGAGTTCCACATACGGAGCCACGCATGAGTATGCGTCCAAGGTATATTCGTACGTTCAGTTCTTCGGTGTTAGACTGCGCAAGTCCTGCAGTATATTTTGTGGAGTTTAAACTTTCCCATTTCGCAT